TCCTCAGCTCAGAGCCTGACCCCAAACATTGATGAACTTGCACCCAAGATGAGATGTCTCTGGCTTGAACTAGCATCACAGAGCAGCAAACTGAGTTTACATGGATGTTTCCTTCTGCACTTTATTTCTTGCGACAACAGGGCATNTGATGAACTTGCACCCAAGATGAGATGCCAAGTATCTGGCTTGAATTACATCAAAGAGAACAAGTGCAGAAGGAAACATCCATGTAAACTCAGTGTGCTGCTCTTTGATGTAATTCAAGCCAGATACTTGGCATCTCATCTTGGGTGCAAGTTCATCAATGTTTGGGGTCAGGCTCTGAGCTGAGGAGACCCTTAGGATGGAGTGAAGGTGTGCGTGCAATATACCGGCGGGCCAGTTAATAGTAATTCAAAATTATCCTGCGGGCCGAAATTAAATCCACCAAGGGCCTGACTTGGCCCCCGGGCCTTGAGTTTGACACATGTGGTTTAATGTATCAGTTTAGGGCTCAGAGAAATGTGATGTTGTGTCTCTGACCTTTTGAAGGACCCCATTTGGAGAAGTTTGTTCATAACTGCACCCTCCACCTCTCCGAAGAAGAGCCCTGTCTGAGAGAGGAGTTGTGTCAAAGCACACAGGCACACAAAATAATGAGAACAGCCAATGAAAAATAACTTTGAACTAATAAGTCTAACTAATTCGATTTTTCAAATTTTTAAAACTCGACAGAGAAAGACAAAAACTGGTATTTATATCAGGGCTGCTGCTGTGAGTGAAAAAAGTAGACCTTCTTCCTCTAACTTTCATCCTACATCCCTTTAAATCTTTCAGCTATCCTATTTGGAAGAGCGGCCCAGTGTTGCTCTACACACGCTCAAGACTTATGGAAAAACATTTAAAGACAACTGGAAAAGCTTAGATAAATGGGAGTCCTGTGTTCAGGTGTAAACTCATAGATGTATTTTACATGCACACAGTACCTGAGAGGGCTCCTCTGTGACGAGAATGAAGGCATTGTTGTCAATGAGATAGCAGTTAATGTCCTATCAGACAAGAGAATATAAGAAATGATGTTAACAAAACAACCTGAAAGAAAATAATTCAAACTTCAGAGCTGTGTGACTTTACTTACCGCGCTATCACAGCTAATGCCACATTTTCCATCCAGAGCGGTACACTGAGCAAAAAACAAAGTATTTATCTTCACACCTGATCACAGAGCTATTTTTGATGTAGAACAAAGCTGCAGTGATTGTTTTTTAGTTACCTGTCTGCAGGCCGTCCAGAACTTCCTCTGAAAGAACTCGAGCTTCATCTGGATCCCTACAGCTGAGCACAAGACCAAACATGTAAGAGACGGCATCACATACAAAAGTAATATCAATAAAATAATGATTTGAAAAATGGTTATGAGATTTGTTACCGGCAACGATTGGAGACTTTCTGTCATCGAGGAGCTGGATTGCAGTGCTGGCCAAGACCACACTTTTATTTTCTAACGCTAGAGGAAGAGCAGAGGATAATCAGATTACACTCTCTGCCCACTAGATGGTGCCGTTTACCCACAAGCCCCAGTTGGTTGCCTCTAAAGAAACCGCAGTACCAGTCCATTACATTACAGTTATGTCCAGCCAGAGCTTTTTATTCTACAGCCAGATGCCTTCAATAATTTTTAAATGGCCGCTGTGATAGGAAGAGTTCAGGTAATGGGAGGATGCAGTCATCATTAACAGAGCAAAAGGTGGTAAATGTCCAGAAGAGAGAAGCTGAATCCTCCATCCTCTGGCTCTCAGACAGAACGTGGGACACATTAACTGAATAAAAGCTGTGAGGGAAGTGAGCTGTGCTGCACACCCTATCAGGGGAAACCAGTAAAAACCACAATCCATAACAAAAAGAGGGACATAGAGAAAGACTGATTAAGTTGTTAAAAATGCTGAATAGCCCAAGCAACCACATGAAATCCAAAAGAGTAATTTGTATAATGCTGCACTGGATAATTGAAAGTATATTGAGATGGGTTCATAAAACGTTAGATGCAGATTACTGAGCTGCAATAGCTGGTGTAGTTTTGTGTGTGCTCACTGCTCAGGGAACTTTTAATTTGTACTGCACTTGAGCTTAACCTCTGGCTTCTGCATACCTGTGCTGAAGGGGATGGAGTACACAAAGGCCCCGGGGACCTGTTCTGCCGCTCGTTTGTACCACAGAGGGAAGTGATCGGCGTTAAACACACCCTCCTTTTCCTCCGCCGTCAGGAAGTCTCTGAGGAAGCAGGCAGAGCCAAATTGAGGCGACGAGGAGAGGATTGGATTCATCAAGCACAATCACAGAGTAATGATTAAAGACGTGTTGAGCAGCGGGACTCACTGATTGGACAGCTGATCGGCCGGGACAAACAGGTTGGTCCTCGAGAGGCCGGCGCGCGTACCCAGGAAGGCAATCTCCACTCCTTTGTCTGAGTTCCTGTTGGGGAAATGCAGAGCAGTGAAAAGTATTTGAATCTGAATGCTTTCATTCCCGACTGATGGTATAAACGCAATAATTAAATGCCACATTAAGGTTTGTCTGTCATAAGGTGTAGGACTTTTATAAATGTTTTCATGCAACATCACTCAGATCTGCTTCTCATTAATCTGAAGGCTTTTTTTCAAATATAAATTAAAGTAATATATATGTTTAAATAAAATAATCACAATTGCCAAAGCATTAATAACACATACCCTTCAACTATGCATTTTGGGGTAATGAACATCATATCAACATGTACATCAGCTCTTTAAAAAGGATTTAGAGTTAAAAGTTCACATTTCTTAAGTGTCTTAATATAACACTCAAATGTTCAGATGTGCATCGATTTTTCCCTATTTTACACTGGTTGTGAAAAACACCTCTATACCTAACGTCATTCTAAAGTTCAGCTGCAGATTATACTCAATGAGGCTTCAGAAATCTGCTATAAACAACAAGTGTGTCTCCAACATTGGAATGGCTATAAGAGGGAAATATTTAACACATCAAACAGAGATTATTTTCAGAGGAATTTGATTTCAGAAGTGTCTGTAAAAGCATGTGGGTGCCACTTTCTAAAAAGGCCTAAGTTACAAAGTATGCATATTAAATAAGCATACTTTGTAACTTATGGCTTTGTAAATGGTTTGAAATGCTTAATTGGAAAGACATTAATAAGAATGATTTTCGGTTGCCAGGTTGGCCGATGCTTCTTCTACTTGATCAACTTATTACCATTTACAAATGCAGACTTAATGGATTGTTGTGTCATCAATAATTTGCAAACATTATTCACTGCAGACGACTTGCAAACATTTACTGACGGCTTATTAGAAATCCCTAATAAACCTCCCTTGTTAATGACCAGCTGTTTGTAGATGTGGACTTCGAAAAACACATTAAATAGGGCCCAAAATGTTCTTACTCTGACTTGTTGAGGGCCAGTCCAGTCCAGTAGGCCTCCAGCGGAGCGGTGACCACAGCATCAAACAACACTTCCTGGATCAGTTCTCGGTCACCTGCAGAGAGTCCCAGAACATATTTTCATCTTTTATCCCTTCACACCAGTGGCAGCAGTGGCCAGAAGTATTAGGTTTTCAGCTTGTTTGTAAATATTTAGCATAAAAAGTACATTTGTACGGATATTTGTCCAATTCTACTGAATGTCATGTCTCAAAAACACCTTCAGGAAACTTCTTCAGATTTGGCACAAACGTTCACTTGGACAGATGTTGAACTGATTAGATGTTGATGTTCAAACGGTCACTGGGACCTCTAATTAAATAATTCATTTTCTTATTTATTTTAGACAATTTCTAATAGGATAAAATGATGAAGTGATGAACCTTTGGAGATACAAAGATGTAAACTGCACTGACTTGTTGTTGTTTAACTGTGTTTTTTATATTAAAGGCAGTAGTCCTAATGTATTTGTATTTTATATGCATGCCTTATAATGATAATTAGAATTTGATTACTGATAAACAGGCTCCATAGAGTTTATTCAGGTCCGTCTGAGACGTCTCTTACATTTGAGGTGTGTTCTGCGGCCCGTCATAAACATCTTGATGGCTTGAATCTGGGTCAGGTGTCGGTGCTCGTGCTGCTCCTCTGTGTTGCAGTAAGTCCTGTGGTCCAAACAGAGCCAGTGTTACATCACAGGCCTCCACATCCCCGATGAACACAGAGGGATAACCTACATAACGCATGATCGCCCGCTCCCATAACCCCAGCATTACCATTCATCTGCCAGGGCGACATCTGGCTGTTCCAGATCACGGAGCCCTGAAAAACACAAGTCAGTCACGCTTCAGCAGTGCCAGCCTGGGTGGACTGATACAAGAGCCCCAGTCAGAGTGACATGCGTTTCACTGTATTCACTAAATGACAGGGCTGGAGTGACATACCGGCTTCAACTGAGACATTTCCTCTGAAGAAGTACTTCCCATGACCTCTGGAGAGGGCCACCCCAACACTGGAGACACAAACACAATCAAACTTGAACTGAGACACAAACTGACAGGAAATCATTTCAGGAATGTATGGCCACTCTTCCCTCACCTGAACGGCGTTCCTTTGATGTCAGTGTAGAAATAGTCATTGTGCATCTTCAGGACACGCCTCTAAAAAACAAAAAGAAATGCAGATGAGATTTACTACTTAAATTCAGAAGAGACAACGAAGAGAACAACCCTCATCTGATAGGGAGGCATTAAAAGTCTATGTGCAGCCTCACCCCTCCATCCACCGTCTTCTTCACCTCCATAGAGAAAGTCCCTGTCCTCCTTTTTACCATAGCGTTGCGTAGCTGAAAGATAAAGCACTTTAAAAAGCACATCGAGCAGAGAAGTCGAGGCACGGTCACTGCAGCACACTGGATGTATCTGCCATGTCACTAGGATACTGAAAACGGTATCATACCTTAATGGTTCTTACAGTAGGGTTCAACTGAAATAGTAGATGCTTTACTGGACAAACTTATAAACATGAAGTCCGGTAACAATGTCAAATCAAGGGATTCTTTTGTTGCAGTCAAACAATGTTGCATGTACACAAAAGTACATCTAGTTGTTACTTTTATGCCACTTCCGTTCTAAATGTATGTTGTTAGGTTAAGATTTGTGTTTACTATAAAACCCAGATCATGTTATTCATTTAAAAAGAAAATGGATAATGCTATAATATGTTAAAAATATGTAAATTGCTTTGATATCCTCCGCAGAAATACAGTCCTATGGCTGGAAAACTGAATGATTGCCGATGTATTAGAGTGCCCTTGTTGTATGTATTTATGTACCAATTTCATTTAGTGTTGTTATTTTTCTTTAATGTAAAGTAATGTAGTTGTCCTGTGTATATATGTATTGCTTTTGGCTCTATGTCTTCGTCCTATGTATGTGATTTTTTGTATGCTGAAAATCAATAAACATATTGATAAAAAAAGAAAAAGAAAATGGAAATTGGAAAATGAATAAAATATATGGCGTTTTCGTAATTTGATGCAGTATCAAAAAGCATAATACCGCTCAATATAACATCTGTTTTAGGGGTCAGGCACGTACAATATCATCTTTGTCTTCCCACTCCACCTCGGAGAGATCCACGCTGCTGTAGTTGGGCTTCCTCCTCTTCTTGCCATCCTGATACTGCACAGGGGAACAACATATAAACACTTTAATGATCCATTTTATGTCATGAGATTTTATTTTAAATAACCACGCAAATCTGCATGTGACAGGTCGTTTTGAAATGTATGAGCTTGATATTAAAAAGCTTAACTGTAATCTGTCCTTTGTGTTTGGATGTTAACATGAACACTTGCTGTATGCTCTTATTTATCAAGCCTCGCTATGAAGGGTTTTGCTGTGTAATTATTTAACAAATCATCTGTGAAATTAACACTGTCATGTAAATTAAAAATAATTAATATGATTGATAGGATATCCACGCTTAAATACACCAAAGCATTAAACTGTACATGTCAAACTCTGCTACAGTATGACATCTGCTCCACAAGAAACAACCAGTCAATGACTACAACCACAGCACAGTTTTAGCCACAAGGAGACACTCACGAAACACAGACACACACACACACAGTTGCACAGAGAGGAATAGCACTACACTGGCACACACAGAGCTCCTGAGGAACCAGCGGTCCCAGGGCGAGCGGCTGTGGTCTCTGCCAGCGAGGGTTAAGTTACCTCTGGGAAATCTCAGGCCAGTCAGCCCTATGAGTGGCCTTTATCCCTGCATGCATACATCAAAGGAAAAGGTGGGGATTACAGATATATACGTGCCCATTGAGCCTCCTAACACATTCTTTTTCTGTGTGCCCTTGTGAAGTGGGCTTGTTACTTTTTTGTATACAATTTCATGGAAAAAACAAAAAGGAAAACTGGGTAAAGTCAGGGAATGCTGTGAGATTGTTCTGGTTTAAAAGCCATGTTAAGAAAGTGAGTTACCAAAGGCCTGAGGTCCGGGTGCATCAGGATGTAGCCGTTGTTTGTGATAGCAAAAGCGTACCCATGGATTCCTAACTGGAGACACAAAGTGAGATACACAAGGAAGAAGACTTCAATAATATATTCACAAAAATGAAATAATGTATTCACATTTTAAAGAACAGCTGACTGTACCATATGTTTAGGGATAAGCTTCATCAGCTCCTGCAAAGGGATGTCTGTTCCTGCAACCCCCAACAGAATCCCCTGGTTCTTCTGCATGAGGAGATCCAAAACACACACACAACTTTAGATGAGATCTGCACGAACATTAACCTAAAGCTCGTTAAATGCTGGTGAAAGTACCAATACCACAACATAAAGAAGACTCTTTTACAAGTACAAGTCCTGATTTCCAATCATACATCAGTAAAAGTAATGAATTATACTCAAAATGTACTTAAAGTATCAAAGGTCAAAGCGTGTTACATATGAAATGTCCTATGTCACTGATATATTAATATAGATGACAGTTTTAGATAGTAGTAATTAATCAATATGTTTACAACAAAAAGTAGACACATCAAAAACGATTAAAAGCCATTGTTTATTCTTTAATAATGTATTCAATTGAAGAGGTGTATCATATTTTATGTGTGTAACTTGCAACTGAAGCTGTCGAATAAATAAAGAGGATGAAGAAAGTAACTATGTCAATATTTTTCTTAAGTAAAGTATAGATAGTTTCCAACATCACGAGTCAACCACGTTCAATCACCGTTTCATTCTTTGTGCTGAAGACAGGCATGGCGACTGTGGTCATCAGACTTGGGCCCGATTTGTCCTTCAACTGAGAAAAAGAGAATTAGAAACCGTTGAATCTTTACCTGAGTAATCTAATTTAGAGGAGTATCAGCATGCTTTCTGATCAGGTTTGTTAGCATCAGTCAAAAACTGCTTAGAGAAAGAAGCACATTTAAACATGATGGGAGAACTTTTAGATTGACTCAGCATTTATTCATCAGCACACCTCATTAATTCTTAACAATAAAACACTGTAAACATACACTGTATGTGTACAGTGTTTTATTCAACACGAGTAGACAAGCTGAGACTCCGAAGAAAATGTGACTTCTCCCTCAACTATTACAGCAACATCTACAAAAATTGCAATTAACGATGTTTAACAATTTTAAAAAATCAAATAAAAAGAACAGCCGCCGTGGAAATGTTAATCAATGTTTGCCTGCGAAGAAAAAGCAATTTTGTTGGTTACAGCAGCTAATTACCAGTGAAGAGGCAGCCTAATTGACATGAAATTCAATTTAAATTCCCAGATAGAAAAGAGAGAAGCATGAGTTATTCAGCAGAGAATGACAGCTTCAGGGCTGGGTAATAAGAAGCCAAAAGTGTCTACAAAATGAAATACTGTGGTAGGGATCAGAAAAAAAGGTCTCACTACATCCTGGTACTATTTGACACCAAATTAATTAAAAATAAGAATCCAAATGAATTCCAGCAGAATCATACAGGGTCCTGGTCGCAGTCTTTCTGTTGTCAAACTGAACCGTGAGAGTCTCAAGTGACGCTCAGAGGACTCTGCAGGATGAAGCCTGACATAATTAAGCACATGAGCGCCGTTAAAGTAGGTCTACTATTCCCTCACCTCGAGCTGACACAGCTGAGTGTGCCTCCATCCTGTGTGTGCGTGATATTCATTTGTGTATGTTCATGTATGTGAAGCAAATAGCTGTGCACTGCAGTGTGTACTCTCCAACTTGACAAAATGAAGAATGGTGGGTTCTTAAATTCATCACAAAAAAACACACAATGGAAGTGGAAACTGGACTGCTGTAGTCCACACACACACACACACACACACACACACACACACACACACACACACACACACAC